TATATTTGATAAATAATCTTAATCATATATATGTAATAAAATCAAATATACTTAAAACTATACAATATGTACCTCCATCTGAGCTCCATCGATTGTGATAGCCGACAACTTGCTTTGTCTTTTCGTCTTCATCTTCGTCCTCGTCTTCTGCGCCGGGTTCGTATTCATCGATGTCTGAGCTCTCCGCGTGTTTTGACATAATTGGGAAAATATCACCGCCGTCCATCTCTTTATCGGACAGTTTCTCGTCTACACTYGAAGAGGTCTCCATTATAAAGTCGAATCAATCTCGGCTAGTTGTAGTAATTCAAGAAAAATCCTGACGACGTTGTTGATTTCTTGTTGTCAAACTGTTGTGTTGGTACTGATTTAAGCTTAATTTGCTACCGACCGTCGTTTAAATTAATACCAGCCACAAAAAGGATGTTCTAATAGATTTACCATCTTGTGGATCACTGAATGTAGAATAACGATTAGTAATAGATGTAACACSGGCTAAAATAACTGGATAAAGACACAGATGAGTTGAAGTCACAACATCTGATGTTCAAATATCAAACGCGCCAAACTTACCTTTACTTACTTCAAACCAATGTTTTCCTCAAATCGGGCATCTAAAAACACTAACAGCTACAAAATCTTCCACCTTTAACATTTATCATTTTGGTTTTGTTGACAATAAAGCAAAGAAGATACAAAAAATAGATTAAAAGCGGATCTTTTCAAAGCAGCTACTTTTGTTCAAAACAAATGTACGCGGCCATGACAGCGCTGAGTAGCCAGGCAATACTATGTAGCCAAGCCTTAATGGTGGATTTACGAGATCGAAGTCATGTTTGGAAGAAGTTGGAATTTAGTTTCTGTTTTCTGCAGAAATAATTGTCATATTTTAAACAGATCAAAGGTAGGAATTCGCAAATGAGTACCCGTTGCGCAGTACTTTAATTTTCGCATTTATTTGACTGCAATACAGTATTCAGAGCCGAGATGAGCAGTGAGATTGGACCTTTGCGTGCATGAAATCATCGTYTTTTGTTTTTTTTTATCCAAAACTAACGCTTTGTGATTTAATTTGATTATTTATTATCAGTTATTGCATAAATCTTATGTTTAAACACGGGTTTAAATTTAATTGCATTTGGAAACTTCTGATTCAAATAACTGTTATGTCATTGTAACACGGCAAATACGACTTTGGGGGTAGGGGTGGGGATTTTGTTTCATTTTCAGCCTATTATTTCTTTCAGATCTTCTGCATAAATATGTTTATTAAATGAAAGGTTAATAAAAGCAGCTTTTTACCAAAAATATTTTCTTTTCTGATTAACAGTAAGTGTTTTTTTTTTCAAAAAAAAGTATGTCTTAACTAATAGTTATTATCATGCATTATACAACTTTTCAGTAAAATCAGACATTTTGATTGGTTGGCTTTCGTGTGTTATCAAAGTATAGATACACGGATTACGTCAAAACTAATTGTTTGTTGTATAAAACAGATAGATCTCATTTTTCCGTGCGTGTGTACTCTAATAGATACACAGGTGACGTCGACTGCGTCTCGTGCGTACTTTTTTGTTCTCACTACATTTTGACGTCATCTGTGTATCTATTAGAGTACACACGCACGGAAAAATGAGATCTATTTGTTAAATAATCTTGATTCTAATGTCAAAACATCATAACCACGTAAATATATCCTTCTGTTTGTTACTAGTCCCACACTCTTACTACTCATACACAGGGAGTCCATGATCTTTAGAGAGGAACTAAAAGCTGCCTGCTGAGGAGACTGCTCAAAATAGACAATAGTCTCCTTCATGTTTAGATGCGCCATGTTGAAAGGTAGCGCGTTTACATCGAAGCGAGACAACTGTTGAGAGTGCAATGATAGATACCTGTGAATAATTGTCTGTAGGTGAAAGAAGATTTCTATCATTGCACACTCAACGGTTGTCTCGCATTGAAGCAAGGGCAGGGCTACCTTTCAAGATGGCGCAGGGAACAGTGAAACACAATGTATGCAGATGGTCATTTGATATTCACCAGGTACAAAGTCAGATCACCACCAGGTCATATTTTCCAAGGTCAGCTGTAAGACAAAGCAAACTATTGATACAGAGAGTGGAAAGTAGTTCCAACAAAAATGAAGCCTTTGCAAGATCGGCAAAGAAAGGGCCTGTAACCTGGACATCATTTTTCTTTGTTGTTCTTGCTGGTGGTGGGTGTGTTTACTATGTGAGATATCTAAAACAACAGAAGGAAGAAGGTACTAAAATAAGTAAAAAAATGTTGTTGTGCAATAAATAAAAATGCATGTTAGCTCTCAAATTCACATTGAAAAATACATGACAGTTGATGTTTTTTATTTATGTGAAATCTTGAATTAAGACCTTGCAATTTAAAACAAATCTTGAATGTCTCCATGCTTCCATCCTCAGGAACCCAGGGTAATCTTTTGTCGTTCTTTCCTCACTCCCAGAAAAAATACCCCTGGGCACAAATTCTGTTAGACCTTGTTCTCGATTCGAAATTCAAAATGGTGGTCGGTAAATTTCAAACATTCTGATTGGTTGATTAATTTACCAGCCGCCATTTTGAATTTCGAATTGAGAACAAGGTCTAACACACTTCATGCCCAGGGGTATTTTTTTCTGGGAGTGAGAAAGAACAACAGAGGATTATCTCTGGGTTCCCAAGGATGTCATGCTTCTCCAATGCTACAAACCTATTGTCCTAATCACTATTAACATTCTTTGGTTGAATGTTTAATGTACAGCCAAAGAACAAGAAAAGAGGAGATCAATAGGTAAAKTTGCTTTAGGAGGTCCCTTTGATCTATTTGACCATACTGGTAAGCCTGTCAATGATAAGGACTTTAGAGGAAAATGGCTGCTGATTTACTTTGGCTTCACACACTGTCCTGACATATGTCCTGATGAACTGGAGAAGATGGCAAARGCTATTGATTTAGTAGGTGAGGATATACCTTTTGYTGTGATGGCATATTATCAACATTCTCATATCCAGTTCCTTCTCAGTTTCCCAATGGAATACCAAAGGCTCTGGTTAGAGACGATACCAGAGGACCCAGAATCTTGGTTGTACAATATATGCATACTGTTATGCCATGATAGTTGCCCTTGGACAATGGATGTCCCTCAAAACTTCATAGTCAACCTCAAACTGTGTCCTTGGGTGACTATTTCTGTTTTGGTACATCCTGTTTCCAAGGCAACCATCACAGCATAATGCCCTCAATTCAACTTCTCTCAAGTTTGAATATTTCAGTAGCTATTTTGTCTTAGGTGGTCAACAAAAATTATTTTGTGGGGGAAAGGTCTATTTAGATTACATAAGAATGGTCTGTCACTCATTCAGTTTTTGACTACAAATAGACAAAACAACCAAAGGAAAAGTAAAGCAAGAATTGCAGCCATTGTTCATCACCGTAGACCCAGTGAGAGACAATGCTAAGGCCATTGCAGATTACATTAAAGGTAAGGCTTCATTGAATGTTGGGCTACCTGTGTTTCATGTCCGAGCAGGAGACTAAGACTAACCTTTTCAATATTCAGCCAAACAGCACCTACCACTCTGTTTTTATCAATTTTGATGTGCTCATATTCAATAGTCTCCTCGCCGCCGCGTTAAGCTTCGGTCACGCGTAACTCTCCATTTGCGTTACGTGTGACCGAAACTAAACACGGCTGCAAGGATTCTCGCATGTTCGACATGTTTGCTTTTGAACCAATCAAATTTTCAGTTTCCGATCGGAATTCTTTCTTGCTTTCTGAGGAACAATCTTCATCTATTTGCGACTTGTTCTCCGGGGAGCGGTCGGAAACTAAAAATTTAAATCACAACACAGGAATCCCAAACAATAGAAAGGATTAACAAGTGAGACTTGTAGCAATGCTAGGGACTTATATAACAGCACAAAACTGCACCTCATGTAGTCATAGATATAGTCACAGTCTATTATCTATGATGTAGTTTTGCAGTAAGCAGATAACATATGTAAATCTTGTTCTTTGTCCATAGAATTCCATCCTAAGCTAATAGGTTTAACAGGACCTGTAGAGAAGGTCAAGGAAGTGTGCAAGTCATACAGGGTTTATTTCAGTGCAGGACCAGCTGATGACGATAATGATTATATCGTAAGTAAAGTGCGAATMCAAAAAAAGCAAACGTCTGAGTGTGTGTTTCGCTTTCACTCCTATAAATAACACCAATGTTTCAAAAAACGCAGTCCCGGTGCAAGGAAAAAAAAAAGAAGGAAAATAGTGATCCTTGTGTTTGGGTTTGCGCTAAAGTTTGGGGYTGCGTTTGGTTGGTTTCAGGGTGTTAAACCGTATTGCGCATTTACGCTTAGCATAGGGCTTTGATTTSCGTCGTTTATGGCAATGCTTCGGCTTGCGTTGAGTTTGTTTTTCACGATGTTTTTAAAGCGTCTTGCGTAATTGCGCTTAGCACTGGGYTCGAATTTGCGTCATAGTAAAGACCATGCCTAATGGTAAAGGACGTCAATTACGAGATTCAAAATCCTCAGATTGTCTAGGGACATTGTTTCTGTCCAAGTTTGGAGTCGCTGTTTCTCGTTTTACACCTCT